TTGGGTCAGGAAGAAATTAACGGTACTCTTAAATTTTTATATGCGAATTGAGGTCGGTTTTTCTTGCTTAAAAATTATTTGTTTTTCAAATGGTCATGCATAGGCGATTATTGGAAAACGAAATTTTATCCTCGTTAAAAATTTATAATAAGTTACACAAACAATTTTTTATTTCGATCTGAACAGATACAGCCCAACAAGAAAATACCATAACTGCGACTAGCATTTTTTATGCTTTTATTCCCATCGGCATATAAAAGAAACGGCACCTTGTTTATAAACGTAGGAATATAACTTTATAGAAATAAAAAGAAAGTATTTTTTCTTGGTTTTGTCGTAAAAATTTGCATTTATTATTTAAAGTTAAGTGATTTATAAACATTCGCTCTCGACACTTATAAAAGTATGTACATTCGCAAAAACTTAAAATAAACTTACTACTAAAATGCTATATTTAACACTTAATATCCCAGAAGATAATTTAGGTAGGCCTTCTCAAGTAAAACCATTCTAAGAGGCCTACCCAAGTAGGGCTAAAAAGTGCTTCCTTGCATGCCTTCTAGAAGGGCTTATCAATTTACAATTTACGCGAATGCATAAATTTATATTATTTAGCATTACAAATGAATTTCAATAAACATTTTAAGTTGCAATAACACATATTTGATATAAACCGTAAGCAAATATTTCAAAGATGTATGAATTTTTCATAAATTAAAGAAGCAACTTTAAAAGAACTCCTCCAAAAGGCCTTCTGAAGTACGTACTATAAAAGCCCTTCTGGAAGGCCTTCCATAGGTAGCGCAGGAAGAGGCCCTAAAAAAAGAAAAGAGAAGGGAATGATGACTCTCAGGAAGGCCTTTCGGAAGGGCTTTCAACTTCTGAAATTATTTACTGGGGTAGCAAGCTTACGTGAAGTTACTTTCAAAAACCCTTACGGAAACGCGTGTTGGGTATTTATTTGTACATTTGCGATTAAAAATTGTAGGAGCGATTCAAGATGGTGTGGTTTGTAATTCTGGCGTCGTGTTGACTTGCAATCACAACCGCAGTGTTGGGCGAATTATTAAAGTATCACGTTCGGTGTGAATTTCTAGCAACCCGCTATCATTTGGGCAGTTGCAACAGTGTTGCAAATTTTCATCAGTGCGGCAGTAATGCTGCTTTTATCACGTGCCTCGAACAGGCCCTCTATTTCTATGCTTATATTTGATGATTTTTTAATACGAAAATACACTTCCACATATACACATCATCATCAGCGTAGCCAGAATGAAATTTAGGGGGGGGGGGGGGGCCCCCCCCAGTTGGCTTTTGGGGGTATTTTTTTTTATATAAAAAAGAAAAATTTTAAAGTGGGGGGGGGGAGGGGGGCTCGAGCACCCCAAAAAAGGTGCTATTCTTTTTAAATCTTCCCATTTAGCATTAAAATGAGAAAACATTCTTAAAACAAAGGTCCAATGCCAAAGCAAGATAAACCAATTGTATACACCATAGAAATTAGAAAATTTTAGTTGAGAAAAAGCAGTCATGGAAAGAATTTCACAATAATGTATTGAAATATTACTATTTTTCTAAAGTGCCATTAGAAGTAAAATAGGGCCAAAAATGGCAGGGTTTGAGCGAAGTTGGCAGCCCTGTTGTGAGGCTCTCTAAATTTTATAGGATAGTAAAAGCATAAGCAGACGGCAGCGGTGATCCGGATCAACTCGGGAATTAACTGCAGTTAATCCGGATTAAGACCGAGTTAATCGGGATCAACGCTGCCGTCTGTTTAAGCTTTAAAACTTGTTTTATTAATCGACTTCCAAAAAAGGAGGAGGTTATCAGTTCGTCGGAATATATATATATATATATATATATTTTTTTTATGTATGTTATTGCATAACTTTGGACCACGTCAAGCGATTTCGATAATTCGTTTTGCATCGGAAAGGTAGTGTCTCAGAGGTGGTCCCATACTAATCTGGTTTACATGATCTCCGTGGATCATGAAATATGTATATATATTTTTTGTTTTTAAGTCGGTTTTTTTTTTGCTAAAAATTTACTTGTTTCAAAACGGTTCACTTTTTTATCCCTAAGTTTCTTCTTATATATAAGTATCGATATTTTAGTATAAATGGATAAGGACTTGGTGCCATGAGCTTCCGGTGAGCCAATATCTTTTTTTGCAAAACCACGATACGCGGTTTTGTACTTTAAACGACGATATGTATATACAAATATTTATGTCTGTGCTACAGAACATTTTATGTCATTACCTCAATTCACAAAGGCCCTAACCAACAATTTTTTTTTTTTATTTTACAAGAGGAGCAATTTCGAAAAAAGTGTCTATTTGCAGTTCTGGATTCAACTCAGTAATTTCACAATTTATTGGATTATAAAATAGTGGTAGCATGAGCTTTAAACATTCTAAATCTCTTAATCTTACATTAAATCTCCTTTTCAATTTTAATAAATTATCTATATAGTATATAAAGTGAATTCTTTGCCCGCCGACAAAGAAAATAATTCGATCATTTGTAAATGTTTATTTTTTCACATTTGCCAGAACTGAACAGAATACAAATATTCATGGAAACGCGTAAATACCTCGTAACTGCGTAAACTTCGTAAATAGACCGATTTTCCATACAAAATTAAGTAAGTTTACGAGATTTCCATGGTTATGAGGCATTTACGCTTTTTGAAGAATTGCCCTATTATTTATTTAAAGGCGGATCTCCATAGCATGCGTGTACGTATGTATGCGTGCGTTTGACAGAAAAATTGAATGTACAAATTTTTATGACAGCACCTACACAACAACGCATGAAAATGTAAGACAATTGTATGAATTTTGACTTCTTAGCGTAAATGTCAAACGCACGCGTACGGATACGCAAGCTATGGAGGTCCGCCTTAAGTCTAGCCGGTTGTACAACAATCACCATATAAATGAAAATTTTAAACTTTATACAAAAATTATAAAAATTCAGCAAAGTTTCACACAAATTTCAAACTTTTTAATCAGAATCTTTAGTACAAATTTTGACTGCAGTCGAGTAGCCCATTAAATTTTAGTATGTATAAAAAAAAAATAAAAATAAAAAATTTACGGGATCTTATAGCAGCTTCAAACTTGCACTTGATTGTAATGGGCTACAAAAATTTTGTCTAAATATTCTGATTAAAACATTTTTAATTTTAGGTAAAACTTTACAGAATTTTTATAATTTGAAATTTAAATTTATATACAACCAGCAAGACTTAAAAAAAAAAAAACAATAGGCATTAAATAAACAAAAGAAAAATAATTGAAAAGTGTATACCCATTTTTTCCTAATTATTCTGATTTTTAATTTTGGGTGAAACTTTTTTTATAATTTTTGTATAAAGTTTGAAATGGTAGTTTATATGGTGTTTGTTGTACAAGCGCTATACTTTTTTAAAAAACTAACAAACATTATTTCGTGGAGAACTGTATACATATCGTCGCCTTAGAAAACGGATATCGACGAATGTACACTATCACGATTTTGGGATTTTGATGCAGATTTACTAAGTTGGACATGCTCTTTTGATTTCTGCAATCCATTGAGCTTGTTCACGCTTGCCTGGTTATCAGCTTATTTGGTTAAAAATTATTATTGTGTAGTGTATTTGGTTGTAAACTGAATAAAAAAATATAACCACATAAGCTGATAACCAGGCAAGCGTGAATAACCTCATCCTTTTATATCTCCCTTAGTTTTTGAGATATTTCGTGTGCATTTTGTCGTACGTTACATAATATTAATGATTTATTTTATTTTATGTAAAATGGGTCACATCCCTGCAAACCAAAGTTCCCGAAATCTTAAGGAAATCGTTAGGAGTATCTCATTTCTGTAACGATTTTTTCCGAATTTTCAAAGAAAATTATATGAAGTGGTTGACACGAACTCGTAAAGAAATTTCTGTACGAAAAATAAAGAAAATTCTGGAAAAATTCTGAAAGATATTCTTCACATAGCGCATTATTTTTGTTGCTTCACAGATTTTCTTCCGAAATTTCGTAAAAGAATGGAAGTGTGCGTAATTTATTTCATTTTAGAAAATTCGGCAAAAAATCGAATTAAATCTTAACGAATCTTTCTTCCTTTTATTAGCTCGGGATGTAACTACGTAAAATTGATTAATAAAGATACTTTAATATTGTCGTATGTTCTATGGACAAAACAAAGTGGTGAGTTAGCGCTACTTACGACAAATGTATACGGAATGAAAAGTCAATTTTCTCATTAACGTTTAGAGTTATTAAATTTAAAAATATGGAAAATAAAAAGTAATAATACAAACTACGTCTCCTTCAAAAATTCAAAGTCAATTTTCTCAAAACCGTGGTTTGTAACATACGACATCCGTTTTCTGAGGCAACGATATGTGCATATATGTGTACGTAATGTACACCCCGCGACAAAAGAAAACACATTAACATTTTTACCACTTTTCTTTGGATTTTTTTAAGTTTCATTATTTTTATATAGAAACATAGCGCTTTATCTAACAAATACCGTATAAATCTAGATTTCAGACTTTGTACAAAAATGATAAAAATGCCACAAATCCCAATTTCATGCATTTTAATTTTAATTACTAGAATATTTATTGGTATGCAGTTTTACAGGTTATTAAATTCTAGTAAAGTGCAAGTGATAAGTTTCAAAAAAATCTAGTTGATTTTTGTACTTTTTTTGCTGACGGTGTTATGCACTCTTTTTCATATAAAAAACTACCTTTGGAAGAAAACGCGTGACACCGACAGCAAAAAAAAAAATTATAAAAAATCAACACGATTTTTTAGCAACTTAAAACTTGCACTTTATTAAACTAGAATTTAATAAGCTATAAAACTGCATACCATAAATTATTCTAGAAATTAAAATGCATGAAATTGGGATGAAAATTTTGTGGAATTTTTATAATTTTTGTAGTCTTGAAATTTAGATTTATATGGTATTTTTTACGACTTTTATAAAAAATAAGGAACCTTAAAAAAATCAAAAGAAAAGTAGTCAAGACTGGTAAAAATATTGATGTGCCATCTTTTGTCGCGGGGTGTATATAAAGGTACCATATAATTAATAAAATGATAAATTATTCAAAAATGTGATTTCATAAGTATGTATCAAAAATATATGAACAAACAACTATAATCAAGTAATTCGGGTTTTTGTTTTCGATATACTAAATTAATTTAATTAAATTAAACTACAACATTATATTGAAACCTTTGACGCGTTGCTTACAATCGCACTGCAATATGCGCATTTTTCTGCTTTAGCTTTCTCGCTGATAGCATGAAAGCATGGATCGCAAAGCTTTACATGATTACAAGGGAGTATAAGAACAGGTTTTTCTTCGCCCATGCAAAAGATGCTAGGCATTGGATTTGGCAAACATGCTTGATGCGCTTCATCGTCGCATTCATTGTCTGTGTTTTCAGTTTCACTGTCTGAATTTTCAGCTTCATTGTCTGAGTTTTCAATTTCATTGTCTGAGTTCTCAATTTTATGATCTGAGTTTTCCGTTCCACTGGCTGAGTTTCCTGTTTCATTGTCTAGGTTTCCAGTTTCATTTTCTGAGTTTTCAATTTCATTGTCTGAGTTCTCAATTTTATGATCTGAGTTTTCAGTTCCACTGGCTGAGTTTCCTGTTTCATTGTCTAGGTTTCCAGTTTCATTTTCTGAGTTTTCAATTTCAGAAATGGGCCCTGTATATATCTCGTCCATCAAGTTAATTTGATTATTCGCCATTTTATTAAGGAAATCAGTTATAGAAATTTGTTCATTTTCAACGCTTGTAACAATTTTTCGTATTAAATTGGAACGTTTTTTATAAAGACAGGGCCTTAGTTTTTCATGTACATTAAATGTACCATCGAGCTCACTTTTAAACATAGGAATTTTCTTAAAATCTTCTTCAAGCAAAACAATCAAGAACTTAAAAATATTTTGATTTTTCGACATTTTCATAGTTAGCTTTGAATTGTACGCTTCAATAGCACTTGTTGTTCTTATAGATGCATTGTGGACAGAAATGCCTTCGGGTCCCTCCTAAAATGAGATCATAGGACCAATTATAGTGAACATACGGTGATTAGTTAAAAGACCACAAAATAAACAATGTCACCTTACCTTTACTATCAATTTTTTTTTAACATACTCAATAAAATCGTTACTAATAGTAGAGTAAGTCGATGTCATTGGCATTTTGTCTACTTCTGCCTGGAGTAAACCAAGAGCGGTGTTTATCATATCTGGTTTGAGGAGCGGCAAGGCCATAAATTTCTTCATGAGTCTTCTAAGCGCATTGTTCCATCTTAAAGCAACAATGAAATTGGGAATTTCTCTTGCACTTTGCCTTATTGCTTGGCAATAATGAAACCAGCATCCTTTAAAAGTAAAAAGGAATGAATGCGAAGTCTACGCCAATACGTTCACGAATAAATTGAAAAACATTTAAAATATTACTTACCACTTAATTCAGCCAAAGGGAAGACACTTTTTAAAGCGTTTCTTAAATCTTCTTCATAGTCCGTCATGAAAGAAACTGGATTTAAATCTATCAAATTTGTATTAATGTATTGTAACATATGAATATAGGCAGCTTGTGATTTGTTCGTCATCATAACATAAAAGAAAGGGAAAATCTGTAACAGGTCAATTCATTTCAATGTTCTATCAAATAAAGAAGAACACTAATACTTACATGATCCAAATATTCGATATGGATTATTATCAGATGCTCAAATGTTGAAGATGGCGCTACACCGAAGGTGCCATCCAGGTAAAAACTTCTCCTTATATGACTATTTTCTAAGATTAGTTTTTTTATTGTAGGAGACATAAATATAGCAAAACTATATTCCGACTCTATAATGGTGCCTTGGTAAAATCGCTCCCCAGGATCATATTTGGAAAATCCATACTTTGCCACTATTTTCTCCTCCGAAAACATATTTTTTAATTCTTCAGGTGACGATGGATTTTTTGGTAGTGCACTATTCTTTATTATGCTTAGATTTCGTCGCATCTTCTCAAATTGGACTAACTCAACCGAGATATTTGCTTTCCTGCACTCCTCTTCAAAAATATTACGTGTAGACCACCTTTCTGAGGACGCATTCTTACACGCCTCTTTAATATTTTTGCTGATGGTCATTTTATCTTTGAGAAGCTCTTGAGTAGGATGATTATGCGAATGAGAATCGTTTAATTTCTTGCATCTTTCATATTGATCAATAGAAACACTCGCACTACAGTTTTTGTTATAGCACACATATCTTGTTCCTTTGTTGTAAGAATACTTTTTCTTGTAAACTTGTTTTTCATCTTTGGTATATACCAATTTACTATTTGCCCGAAATCCATTTATATACTCGAATTCAAGGAATTCTGTATTCTTTTTAGACTCCGTAATGGTGCCCTTGTCAGATGCTGTATTCTTTTTAGACTCCGTAATGGTGCCCTTGTCAGATGGTCCTCCAAGTTCATATTCGGTATTTGTCACAAGGGGTTCTACCGAAAGCATATTTTTTAACTTTTCAGGTGACGAAGGATTTTTTGGTCGCACACTATTCTTTATTCGGTATAGATTGCGTCGCATCTTCCCGAATTGGATTAAATTAGCTGAGTTATTTGCTTTCCGGCACTCCTCGTCAAAAATATCCCGTGTAGAGCATCTTTCTAAGGAAGCGTTTTTACACGCCTCTTTAATGCTTTGGCGAATTAGCATTGTATCTTTGAGAAGCTCTTGTGTAGGATGGTTATGCGAACTCAGATCATTTAATTTCTTGCATCTATCATATTTATCAATGAAAACACTCTTCCTGCATTTTTTGTTATAGCACACATATCTTGTTCCTTTTTTATAAAAACACTTTTTCCTATAAATTTGTTTTTCATCTTTGGTATATACCAACATACTATTTGACCGAAATCCTTTTATATACTCGAATTCAACAAATTTTCTTTTCTTTTTAGACTCTACAATGGTGTCTTGGTAAAGTGGATCGCTAGGTGCGTATTCGGTAAATTCACAATTTGCCACTATGGGCTCCTCCGAAAGCATATTTTTTAAATTTTCAGGTGACAGAGGTTTTTTTGGTAGCACACTATTCTTTAATCGGAACAGATTGCGTCTCATCTTCTTAAATTGGAGTAAATGAGCCGAGTCATTTGCTTTCCGGCACTCCTCATCAAAAATTTCTCGGGTAGAGCCTCTTTTTAAAGACGCGCTTTTACACGCCTCTTTTATGTTTTGGCTGATGATCATTTTATCCTTGAGAACCTCCTGCGTAGGATGGTTATGCGATTGAGAATCGTTTAATTTCTTGCATATTTCATATTCATCAATGAAAACGCTCGCTCTACAGCTTTTGATATAGCATACATATCTTGTTCCTTTGTTGTAAATATTCGTTTTCCTATAAATTTGTTTTTCATCTTTGGTGTATACCAACATACTATTTGACCTAAATCCATTTATATACTCGAAATTAAAGAATTCCATATTTTTTTTAGGTTGTATAATAGTGCTTTGGTAAGATGGCTCACTAACTTCATATTCGGTAAATTCGCACTTTATTACTAAGGGGTCCTCCGAAAGCATATCGTTTACAATTTCAGGTGAAGATGGCTTTTGTGGTGGTACCCTATTCTTTATTCGGCGTAGATTGCGTTGCATCTGCGTGTATTTGACTAAATGAGCAGAATTATTTGCCTTCCGGCACTCCTCATCAAAAATAGCTCGAGCTGAGCATCTTTCTGAAGACGCGTTTTTACACGCCTCTTTAATGTTTTGACTGATGACCATTTTATCCTTCAGAATCTCTTGAGTAGGATGGTTATGCGATTGTGAATTCTTTAATCTCCTGCATCTTTCATTTTCATCAACGAAAACACTCGTACCACAGTTTTCGCTATAGCACACATATCTGGTTCCGTTGTTGTAAAAATTCGTTTTCTTATAAATTTGTTTTTCATCTTTGGTGTATAGCAACATACTATTTGACCGAAATCCCTTTATATACTCGAATTCAAAGAATTCCATATTCTTTTTAGAATTGAACAGTTCCGACACACCCGCAGTATTTCCAACAAATCTAGATTTGGATTGCTGAAAAAATATCGATGTTCTGCTTCGAAATTTTTCTACTCGATGTATAAATAGTCGATGCATCGATATTTTCTGTAAACTGAAATTCCAAAGGGGTCTTCCCTTAAGCTGCATTTACAAGAGGCGATTTTCTAGGCGATTCAACATTACAGCTGTAAAAGTAACGAAAATTTGGATACCCGTATGTATTCTTTACTAATCAAATCAACACCCGTATCTTTCGTATCGTTAATTTACTCGTCACTTTTGATACAAGCACTTGTACCTCACAATAATCATCGCAACAAATCTTGCAGCGTAAGGAAATGTTCGTTCGTACATATGCATACATGTACATACATATATACATATGTATACACGCAACACACTTTGGTATCGATACGAAAAACAATTTCGTTCCCGCACAATATGTTGTGTTGTGAGTAACGAGATTATTATGTGAGTAACGATTCGGTTCTTCGAATCAGGGGTTGTATTCGCAAAAGTGGACAGGCAGCAAGGAGTCGGAGTCGCAAGACATGTGTGTTGACGCGGCAACTGACTCCACTGCTGCGCCAGAGACCGAGTCGACCACGGCCCTACCAGTCAACCTGCTGACAGAACCGGCGCAGGTACCAGCCAACCAGCAAATAGAACCG